GCATCCTGAAGGTGTCACAGGCGTCCCACTAAGCCGCCTGGGATCTCAGCCGAGGCTCAAAACTGGCTCGGCAACGCTGGCATACCTGGTATAACCAGGCGACGCGCCGCGCGTCAGAGGGGCCGTGCCGCCTCCGCGCGCGCGCCCCCGCGGCCGACAGGGGGGCTCCAGGGGGGGGAGGAATGCCAGGTAAGAAAGGGGCAGGGACCCCGAGCCAGGGGGGGAACCCTGACAGCGGGGGGCATCCCGACCCTTTCCCGCCCCACGCCCCACCCACCCCAGGGGGGGGGGAACCCCACGGCTGGCGGGGGCGAAGTCCCCAGAACCCCCGCCGCCCTCCGCCTTCTACGGCAAGTCCCCAGGTCCCGCCGATACCCAGCGTGCTCACCTTGCCCCCGGCTTTGCGGGGGGAGGGGGAGGAGGAGGAGGAGGAGGAGGAGGAGGAGGAGGAGGAGGACGAGGACGAGGACGAGGACGAGGACGAGGAGGACGAGGAGGACAAGGAGGAGGACGAGGACGAGGACGAAAACGAGGACGAGGATGGGGGCGCTGCTAGAAGTGCCCCAGCCCGAGGTGCCCCCAGGATTTCCAAGGAGGCCCCCACGACCTTCGGAGCACCCCTCACGAGGCCCAAGGGGGCCACAGGGGCTCTAAAATGGAGCGAAGAGTTGGGGACACTTTTGGCCAGGGGCATATGCAGCAACCCCCAAGAATTTCTGCTTGCGCCAAGCACCCAGACACCGCGCTTGACGTCGATGGGCTGCGCTTCCGTGCCTTCCTGCAGGCACCGCCGGGGTCCGCCCCCTGGGCAGGCGGCTCGGCTCGACAGGCAGTCGCGACAGCACCTAGCGCGCGCGCGCGGCCAGTGAACCGCGGACCACCCCCCCCGGCGAAATGGCGTTCGTCAAAGTCCTCAAGAACAAGGCCTACTTCAAGCGCTTCCAGGCGAGCTGGGCCGACGGCCACCCCCCGATGCCTGGCACCCGAGGGGTCCCGCGCAGACGCGGCGTCGGAGAGACGTGGTCGTGGTTTTGTTCGCGGCGTCGCGTCTTTGTCCTCGACGGCGGGCTCTTGGGACGGCCAGCGCAGCGCTGCCAGCGGGCGCCCCCCTCCCCGCCCCCGACACCAGAGACTTCCAGTTCCAGGAGGAGGTGGAGGAAGTGGAGAAGGTCTTGGCATCGCTCGGACGTGTGTACTTTTCTTTGGGCGAGGACCATCGAGGAGCATCCTTGATCATTTGGCGACGCAATCACGCACGAAACCGAAACAAAAACACAGGGAAGGGACGTCCGAGCGATGGCCAGAGGTGGGTGGGAGGGGGGAGGCGGCGGAGGAGGTGGGGAGGGAGGGCGACGGTGCGCGGGGAGCTGGGCCTGTGGAGCGCCATCGATACCAGGGATGTCGTTTCGTGTCTGCGTGTCCTTCGCGCCAGGGAGCCCAGTGATGGGGAGCAGCGAGTCAGCCGTTGCGTCCTCCTCCTCCGCCTCCTCCACCTCCTCCTCCTCCTCTTCCTCATCCTCCTTCTCCTCCTCCACCTCGTCCTCCTCCTCCTCCTCCTCCTCCTCCTCCACCTCCTCCCGTCCTGTCTCATGCTGCTCCTTCTCCACCCCTCCTCCCATCAATGTCCACGGGCCCTGGGCATGCGAACGCGCTGCCCCCCGCTCAGGTGAAGAAGAGGCGCCGACGCGAGGGCAAGACGGACTTCCACGCTCGCTGCAAGATGGTGCGGCAGGACAAGAACAAGTTCAACAACAAGAAGTACCGGCTCATCGTTCGCATCACCAACAGCAGGGTCATTTGCCAGATTGCCTACGCGACCATCCGCGGTGACATGATCGTGGCCGCAGCAAGCAGCGACGAGCTCTCCAAGTACGGCGTCCCCGCCGGCTACAAGAACTACGCGGCCTGCTACTGCACGGGCCTGCTCGTTGCCCGCCGCGTGCTCAAGGTCGGCGGCGCGCAAAAGGGGGGCGGCGGGCGCGAGCGGAGTGGCTTACAGTGGTGGCCCTTGCCAACAAACGCCCTGCTTGCCTCCTGGGTGCCCTGGGTTTCTTGGGTTTCGATGGCTTCGCGATGGGAAGCTTGACGCTCCCACGCCAGAAATCTACGGACGTCCTGGGGCCTCAGGGTTGGGTTTCTCGTAGAAGGGTTCTTGTGGCCGGGCCCCTGGCCTCCTGAGAAGGCAAAGGGTTTCTTGAGAGCTTTCCCGCCTGTCAGGAAACCTTCGGACCCACTCTCTCCTGTATTGAAGGCCGCCACTCGCCTCTTCTCGCGACGCCCACCAGTCCATGGGCCTCGACGAGACGTTCAAGGGCAAAGAGGAGATCGACGGCGAGGAGTACCACGTCGAGGACGAGGAGAACGAGAGGCGACCGGTGACGATGACGAGGGCGATCGGCGATGGAAGATCCCCGACAAATGTTCCACCCCGTCCTCTACTGAGTGATCTGTGGCGGGAACATGGAAGGGGGAATCGAGCCGTGGCTACGCGAAGCCCACAAAAGGTGGAACACGCACACGCGCACGCACGCAGGCACACTGTTCCTCCGCTTGCATGCGACGTGACACCACAGTCACGATGAGCAAAACACGGAGCACGTTAGTGCTGATTCCATGCGACGTTGTGGACGAATGCAATTTGCTTAGAGAGCGGAGGGACGGGACGCCCGTCCGAAACGCGCGAAAGCACAAGCACCACCAACAACACCATCAACACCAACAACAACAACAACAATCATTTCAAGACTGTTCGCTCCTATCTGCTCCCGTGCCGTTCAACGTGTCGATCCCAAACCCTCGGTACCCGCCCTCTTCGTCTTCGACCGTGCCCCCCGTTGGGGGTGCGTATCTTCCTCACCTGCCGCGTGCATGCAGCGCAGCCCCACAAACAAGGGGAAGGGAGGACGGATGCAAGGGGGAAGGGAAGAGAGGATGGAGCACGAGAGAAAGTAGCAGGAGGGGGGGGGGCCAGGAGTTCAGAACATTTGGCAGAACCAGACGGGCAGATCGGGCGGGCATACTCCTAGCGGGCGGACCGGGACGGCGGGCCCAGGCGGCCAGGTCGAGCAGGCGAGCTGCTGAGGCGTGAGTCCTGCATGACTCGCGAGGAATTCTCTGGCGATGCCGTGATTCCCAGGTAGGTCGTGAGAGTTGCCAAAGCGAGAGCGTGATTCCTGAGTGTCGAGGGCACGGCGTCTGAACAAATTGCGAGGAAGTCCCACGCGAGAGCGCGATTCCGGCATGATTTGTGAGGAGGTCCCCCTCGCGAGAGCGCGCTTGTGGAATAATTTGTGGGGAAGTATCGCGCGGGAACCGCTGTTCTTGTAAACCGGTGCCCAACAATAAAGTTTGACCAAGAAGAGTCCCACGGATATAAAAACAAGGTGCGAGCCCCGAGGAGGACATTTCGATTGAAAAACACAACGTGCACCCATGGGGTGGGTCAACTTTTTTTTTCTTCAAAGTGAGAATTCAACGAGGTTGCTTGTCGAAGGACTCAAGCCAAAGCAGCTGCGGGTAGCGCAGAAAAGGCTGTCTCCTCATAGGCGTGCCCCGCGATTGGCGAGAAACTTGTGGGGCCGCGAAGCGCGCGAGGGATGTGCCAAAATGAGCGGGGGGACGCTCTGCGGTACCATGCCAGTGTGGCCTTCGATGGAGCTCCTTGTGGGACCACGAAACGTGTGAGGGGTGTGCTGATATGAGCTGGGGGGTCGCATGCTGCACCACCCCCTGGGCGGCTCGGTGGAGCCCTCTTGATGGCCACGAAACGTGTGAGGGATGTGCCGAAGTTGGCCGGTGGACCCCTTGTGGGGGTTCGGTGGAGCACTCCGTGGGGCCGCAATACGTGTGAGGGGTGGAGTTCCTCATGGGGCCACCAAACGTGCGAGGGGTCTGCCGGCATTGGCAAGCCGAGGGCAGGGGCAGGAAGGAGGGGGAGGAGGTGAGAGGTGGGGCGCGGCGCTGCTGATCCAAAACGCGAATCCAACTCACACAGGATGGTTCGTTAAGCCTCGAGGGGGGCTGGGAGGCTGGGAGGAGGAGAAAGAATACGGCGGGGAAACCAAAGTCGATCGAGGATCGACGACGGCGGTGGCGACGACGACGACGACGATGGCGACGCGCTTCAAAAGTTTAGGCCACTTCCCAGAGGGCAGTGTTTTGCTCACCCGAGCTGTGTTTGATGCCCCCAGGTCCCAGAAGCGGCCGTCGGAGGCCGAAGTCCCACAGAACATGCAACAGGGACGGCAAGCAGGAAGTCGGCCTGCCGGCGGGCGCATCACAGAAATCTCTCGTCCCCCGATATCGGCCCCAGGACCCACAGGAGCTCTGGAACTCCTCCTGGGACCTTCAGAGATGGACGGAGAATGCGCCCCAAGAGCTCCAAGAGCAAGACTTATCCGCAAGGGCTTCGCCCTCTGACGCTGGCCCCCACTCTATATGAAAGTGGGAGCTGTCGGAGGGCAGAAGTTCGGTTCAGCACCAACAAACGACTGGTTCAGCAGGGACCGGTTCAACAGACGACCGGTGCAACAGACACCGGTTCGACAGCAGACGACCAGTGCAGCAAGGCCCAGTTCAACGAAGACCGGTTCCACGGGACCAGTTCCGCAGAGCCGGTTCCGCGGAACCGGTTCCAGAGGACCGGTTCCGCAGGACCTGTTCCCGGGGAAACGGTCTTGTACTTGTCAGAGCTATGCTGGGACATGTCGGCGCCGTTTTGCAAGCTTCTGGGGACATCATGCGAGGAAGATGTGCAGTCAGCGTTCACCTTGAGATGTTGGAGTGATTGCATCACGTTCTGTTTCCTTGTCAGAGGGCGAAGCTGGCGTAATTTACAAGTGAAACTGGCGTCGGGAGCACGGATCTGGCGAAGATAAAAGATATTCTGGCCATGGGAGCGCGAATCTGGCGTACGCTGCAAAGGAATATGAAGCAGCTGCTATGTATTATGGGTTCGGGAACGCCGATCTATTAAATTCGCGTCGGAATCTGATTTCTGGAGCGCGAATTCGCTTCTAATTACTGATGATTCTGACCTCGGCAACGCGAGCCGGGCTTAATGTACAAAGCTGCCTGGCTTCGGGAGCGCAAACCTGATGCAATTTACAACATATTCTGGCCCCGGGATCCCGAATCTGGTGCAACTGTTTCAAAGGATTCTGGCCTCGGTCGCAGGAATTTGGAGCAACTTGCGATAGAGCCTGGCCTCAGGAACGTGAATCCGGCGTAATCTACAAAGGATGGTTTGCCTTTGGGGCGCGTATTTGATGTATTGCTACGCGTCCCAGGGCCACCCAAACATGCAAAGCACGCGATTCGGGCGTGGGGGCCAGGTTGGTTTTCGGCCCCCCCTTGTGGGGAGAGTAACAACTTCCTGCAAGAAAGCGGGAAGTAGAGCCATAACCTTGGACATTGGAAGTTGGCGCCGGAACCAGGAAACTTCCGCCACGCAGCCTGATGGCCCCACAAGTGAGCTTTTTTGTTCCTTTCCAGCGTAACGCTCGTTACCTGGGCCAACCCTCCCCCCACCACACCGGGTAACGCTAACGATCGTGCCGTTGGGGAGGGGGCGTTCTGCCAAGTGCTGGGAGCAGACCCCCTGCAGGTATGGTGCTGTGCTCACAGGCGTGGCGTGGTCTGAACGGCACGCGCTGGTGCTCACAAACGTGTTGTGGCGCTCGAAGTCGTCGTCGCCGTCGCCGTCGCCATCGCCGTCGCTCGCCGTCGTCGTCGTCGTCGTCGTCGTCGTCGTCGTCGTCGTCGTCGTCGTCGTCGTCGTCGTCGTCGTCGTCGTCGTCGTCGTCTGCGCCGTCGTCGTCCAATGCAGCTGGCGATGGCCCAGCTACCGCAGGCTGGTTCGACCATTCTTCCGCAAGTGCAACACGCGGTGGCTCTCTCTCTCTCTCTCTTCCTTCTGGCCGGTGCTCGGTCGCAGTGCGATACAATCAACTCGCCTAATAAGGACGCGCGCCTTCTCCAGGGTACCCTTTGTGTCCTTGCCTCTGCGGCCTGTCTTTGGCCGCTTTCATTGGCCAGCTCTTGCAGCAAAATTGAAAATTCGGTTTCCAACGGTCTTGCGTGCACGTGCACGCGGCTGTTGTGGTGTACGGAAACATTGTGATACGTACACTGGTGGCGCTGTGTTGCACGCAGGCAATGGGCATTGTCGTGTGCACAGGCGATTGATGCGCCGGTGGCGCGGACGCACCCTGGCGGGCGCACGCCGCGGCCGCCGTTACCGTTACCCTCCCGCTCTCCCCCCCTCCCCACCCCTGGGCAACGGCCGTTAACAACAGAAAAAATACGGTCACCAACGGGGCCGGCGGATTACCGTAGGTATGCGCCTGCTGTTTAGTGCCAGGCCTCGATCGATCGGCGACGGCGGCGGCGATGACACCGATGTGGGCGAGAGGCGGCCGCTGAAGTGCATCTTGGACGTCGGCCTCCGGCGCACCTGCGCGGGCGCGCGCATGTGGGGGGCGCTGAAGGGCGCCGTGGACGCCTGGGGGGGGGGGACAGGGCCGCCAGCACCGCCGCTGGAAGCCCGAGTCGGGAGCCATCAGGCGGGGGCCAATGCAAACGGGGGTCAGCCAGGGCGCCGGATCGCACAGCATCCTGCACAGCCAGGGTCCCATTGCTCCGTGCTTGGGAACAGGATCCTGCAAGATCCTGAAGGGATCTTGCAGGGTCCTGCGAAGCCTGACCGACCCAGGTCTGAGTTGACCCGGGTCAGTAGATGCGCGATCGAGGATGGATGCATGGGGATGGAGGAGGGGTGGGGGGGGGACCACCGAGAGCGATCCGCTTCTCGCAAAGTGCCTACTCGCAAGCTTCAGGAAAACGCATCTTTGCCTCGACGTAATGGATCGTAGATCCCCCGCGGCTCATCCAGGCCATTTGCGAGTAGTCGCTTTGCGAGTAGTGGAACGCGCATGGATGAAGACGAGATCATTCGGATGAGGATTATTCGGGAATCTCTGAGATCCAGCGGCTCTGGAGGACGTATCGGGCGCCGCGGCCTTCTCAGAGCGTTCCGGAGCGCTCTGAGAGGGTTCCGCAACGCTCTGGAACATATTTACTCTCGTCCTCGCCCCGTCCGAAAGGGGCCGGAGTGGAGGGAGGCGTGGGGATGGAGAGGAGGGGGCGGGGGGGGTGGCACCTCGCGGCCCCCCCACGTCTAGAGGACTCTCCCGGACGAGGCCGGCGGGCCCCTCCAGTCGGCTGGGGCCCGCCCCAGGGCCGGCGTGTCCCAGCTTCCAGGACGGCCCAAGTTTGAGTCGGGCGTGTCCCTCTACAGGAGGAAGATTCAAACATGGTTGATGTTTCTAATACTGTTGTCCATTTTCGAATATCGGTTTTCAAACTATTTTTGATTGTTCGCCCCAAAACCGCCTGTGGAGGGGGACATGCCCGACCTAAGCCTAAGTCGTCCCCAAGACGGCCCAAGACGGTCAGGCATGACACGACAGGTCAAGCCAAGACGAGGCAAGACATGGCCAT